ATAAGTGTAGGAGCAAGTCCATTTGCAGGTGAAAAGATGTGCCTTTGAAGCAGAACCAGCTGTATTTTCATTGAAAGAATAACAGTTTAGAAAGCTTTTCTGCATGTGCTTGCTTGATAGCATAATGTACTCATAAGCAGCTTATGCAGTATTCAGAAAATAACAGTGCATTAATTTTTAAAGCAGCAAAGGCGGAGGAAGAGCAGTGCTGCCACAAGATGATAATGAATGTGGCCAGTGTAAAGTTGACTATTGAGAAAGGAAAAAAAACAGTGACCTTCTGAAAAATGAACATTTATAAAACAATACCCAGATATTCACATGATAATGAGCTTGAGCAGCAATATCCACAAAGGGCAAAGGTGTAGTCTAGTTTCTGGGGGAAGGTATAGAACTGAACAGAAAAGAGCCCAAAACCAATGTATCCATTCTTTTATTAAACTAAAGAAACTCCTGTGTAAAACAATGCCATAGGCAAAGCTATTTCTTTATATATGAAATAGTTCCTGACATAAATATAGATTTTATATTGAATTAAGGTGAGTATACAGATTGCTTTATCATTTCCTTAAATAATGTAACATAAGGAGTGATAAAGAATAGTGAGGTACTAAAATGTTTATGATATTTAGCTATGTCTTATATCTATTTAAATATATGGTTCTTTAGAGGAACAGCGCTCATGCTTAAATAAGTTTTAATCTTACTAAATAATACATAAGCAAATGAACTTTTAACAGAGAAAAATCTACTGGGTGGAAATTATAACTTAAAATGGCTTTTAAAAGTATTTTGTTTAAGGAACATGTACTAAAGATTTTCTGCAAAATAAAAATTATGAATATTTTTGTTGCTCTTTGCTATTAAAAAATCCAGACTTACGTTTTAAGTTCCTTTGCATTAATATCTATCTTTTAATTATTATTGTGCTATTTTATACATTTCCTTGAATTTTTATTTCTATTTATTTATTTTATTAGTGCATATTCGTAATCCGTAATGACTGTATATATTGTGGGGAATTCCTGTCTAAAACTTGAAGCAGAAATTTCTGCTGTGTATCATGTGTTTTTAAGTGTATATTTGTAATCTATTGTATATTTAACAGATGAAAATAGAGGCAGTATTGTTTGGTTTGTTTAAATCTCTTGAATTAGAAACTCTACATATAACATTGAAAGAATCTTAAGTTATATGTAATTGGAAAAAAACTGATAGGTAATCTTTAAGTGCATGATAATGATTTAAATGATCCTAGGGAAAAGAGTTCATATCCATTTTACTCTGCTCTTAGTTTTATAATATGTAAGTGAGAGGTGGAAATAGTCATGAGTCTGGAGAAGAAACAAGAAATGGACACTGATGATAGGAAGAGAAAATCATTGAAGGTCAAAGCTCCAGTTTAAGTCAAGCCTTCCTACAATTCTTACTTGTCCTTGTTCAGTAGAACCCCTGTGTGTCTCTGTTTCTTTCTCTCTGTCTCTGCCTGTCTCTCTGTCTGTGCCTCTCTTTCTGTCTCTGTCTCTGGCTCTGTCTCTGTCTCTGTCTCTGGCTCTGGCTCTGCCCCTGGCTCTGGCTCTGTCCGTCCCTCCATCCCTCGCTCTCTCTCTCATTCAGAATTGGATTTCTGTCATTTAAAATGAAAATCCTGAGGAGCATCTCTGGATCTCTCCAGTATCCTCAGCAACTAACCAGATACCTGTCCCCACGAAGACTGAATTGTTGTTACGATTCTCTACGTTCAGGTGATCTTAAGAGACAGTCTTGTTCTTTTTGTTTGTTTTGGTTCTAGTTTGATCCAGCCTAAAGGGAGAGGAAAAAACATTTTAAAAATTTTGATAATGGTGACTTTAAAGGGAAATTGGTTGTGTAGGGCAAATAGTTATTGCTTTCTAGGACCACATGACAAAGTAGAGGTCTTGGGCATCACTCTCAGTTCTCTAGCTGGTCTTAGCAGTTGTAATTTGTGGCTTCCCTCTTCCTGTATTATTCCAGACCTTCTTGTCTCTTATAATCATCTTAGTTTGCTGAAGGTCTTTGCCTTTAAAGTATACCAAAATCTTCAGTTTTGAAAATTTTAAGCCCTTGGTTATTATTCTAAAGTTAGGTGGAAATATCATTACATTCTAGGATTGGCCACAGTTTTTACCCCTAAGGGCTCTCTGATACTTCCCATATTTCTTTAAACATTTATTTTGTGTCACTAAGGCTTGATAATAAGCATAGTTCATAATGGCTAATGCTTTGACTGCCCGTTTTTCCTGTTTGCCTATGGGCATGAAAAAAATCTAAACTGACTAGGCAACTAGCTCAGCTTCCCAATTTGGAGAACTAATATTGTGTGTGTGTTTTTTTTTATTATATGACTTCTCTATTATTATGTAAACTGCATAATAATGTATACAACTCAGACTTTGACTACCAAGAGGATTTACCTTTTTCATAGTCTTTTGAGGTCATCTTCAAGGATAGCAATAATAACATAACAATCTAATTTCAGGTGTTTTCAGAATATTATAAAGACCCATCTATAAAGACTTTTTAATATTAAAATGATGCATCCAACTTTAAAAACAGTTTTAAACTAGATAATCCCCAACTCACGACCAGTTGCTCAGACCTGAGGGTAAGAGCTGTTACTTGCTGAAGACAGTATGGCTCTGCATTTATGTTTGTGTATGTTTCCTGGATGAAAGAACTCAGAAGGCAAGGACTTCTGTATTTTACATTTTTTCAGTCGTGTGGACATAGGTATCTGTCTTGAAGGCATAAAATATTTTATGTTGAAACCTTGTTGGGGAACTAAAAAGATACAGGTTCTGTTCCAAAGACATTAACAGATGCCATCTAAGTGTTTTCACTCAATAGAGTGAAACCAAATTTTACAGTATATATACTTTGGATATCATAGTCTCCAAGGTGAATGCTAAATTAGGAATAGATGCACAGTTTGGAAAAGTACCAAGTGTATAATAATTTTAATATCATCTATTATAAATACAGTTTCAAATGTTTATATTAGCTTTAATATAAATCTAGAAGAATTCTCTAAGAAGATACAGGCGTTGAATTGAAATAGAGTTCATTGTTCACCAATAATTATGTGGTTTTTTGAAACAGAGTGATAAATTCTTACTTTAGCATTGATTCTTACAATTATATGTGAGACTTTTCTGACAGAGACATAAGCCAAAATGTTGCATGTTTGTATGAAGAATATTTTGGTCAAGATAATACTTTTATTTATTTTCTTCTCCATTGCACTCAGATTATTATAGGACATATACTGGATAAAATAAGAAATAACTTTTTGGCTTCAAATATATGATGTTCAAATTTCTTTTTAGATTTCCTTTAGAAACTTGCTTTGTAACCCTGAGTGGAAGCATTTGATGTGTTACCACTTTCATGGTTCTGAACTGTTTATATCTCAGCAGGAATAATGACATGAATAACTTGACTGTTGAGATGTGAAATCAGAGTGAACACTTGTCAAGGTTTTTTCAGCAAAATTGAATGTTGCTAATTTAAAGTGAGCCAGAGTAATCCTGTTTTGCATAATATACATTCCATGTTTTAAATTTAGATCATTTGATCTGTATTTTTACAATTGGCTCATTTCTGGATCATTAAATCCTATTATCAAATAATATTTATTAAGCTTCTCCTTGCAGATTCAGAATAACTTCTATAAAATAACAGTTAAGAAAGGAGCATATACCCTTTTCTTAAAAAATAATACATAGCTCTCCTGCCAAAAACTTGCATGTGTATAATGAACACAGGTATACCATTTCTACATTATTTCCAATCATTTGACTCATTTCTTTCTGCCAGTTTTAATTCTAAAAATCTAAATGAAATTATAAAGCTACTTTTGAATCATTACCAGAAATATTGAGAAACAAATTTATTGCCCATGAAATTTTTATGACATTCTTTAGATCAACTGCTTTTCAGTTTATTTAATGTGAGGAAGATGTGGAAATGAAAGTTAGAAATTGTATTATCCAGATAAAAGAAAGCTATGCTAATATTATAAAAGAACTGATCATTGAAAAGAAAGGTAATGAAAGCAACAAGAAGGCAAAATAATAGTAGGAAGTAACCAGAGCAATTATGTAGGCATGTAAACTGCTACTCAGAATAACAATATACTATAATGTTTGAAGCTTTTGCCTCAGTTCCGAGTTAAGAGTTTAGTTATCAAAAAAACATACTATTGTAGTTAATGCTTTCGTTGCTAAATCTGTTTTTTCCCCAGGCCGTACAATACCTCTTTTTCAGCTCATTGGTGGGGCCACCAGATGGTATATCAACAAAATAAACTTTGTGACACTAACTCAGTTTTGTTCATTTTGGGCTGTGAAGTGTGGTAGCAATGATTAGGACTAATATGTACATGTAGGTCTGCTACATCTTTTATCTAGTAATATTTATTCTGTTCTCTATTAAGAGGAAACAAAAGTTAAATACATATTTTCCTAATGAATTTAGGGGACTAACAGTTAATTATTTAAAGATTCCTTGTTTAGTCTCTTAGAGAAAACTAGAGAATATTTCTCAAATTGATTATTTGAATACTTAATGAACCCATGATAAATTTATAGTGAACTATTACTCTTCAATTGTGAAGACAAAGTTAACTTTACCTGTCAGGATATTACATATACTCATTTATTTATACATTTGTTTTCAAATGCTTCCACAAGGCTTATTCTTTTTATCATAAACTTATTCTCTAAAATAAATTATAGTCTTTTTTTTTACATTCATTGCCTGTCACATCAAAGATATCTGTCAGAATCTTCTTCCTGAAAATGGAAAAGAGTAGAAGTTGACCTTTGGGTGACAAGTTTATGATTATCACATGAGGAAACTGCTTTGCAACTTTGTATCCCTGTTTTACTCTATTTAAACATTCTTTGGCATTTCTGATGAGTGTTGAACTTGAATTATGTATAAGCATAACTCATTGTCTGAAACTATTTTTTTTTTAGGTAAACAAGATTATAAAAAAACCAAGCCTATTTTACGGGCAACCAAATTAAAAGCAGAAGCTAAGAAAACAGCAATAGGCATAAAGGTAGGCCTCTACTTGATAAGTTTGTCATTTGATATGTGTGTGCCATTTCGTTTTCTAAAACTGGGTTGCATAAATGTTAAGTTCTAAATGCTTTTGACATTTCAAGATCTAAATAGAATCCTAGAATTGAAGGTTTTTGAACAGAATTTACTTAATGGAAAATATCCTTTCTATGCTGAGATTTTGAGGGGCCTTAAAATGAAACAGTGTTACCTACTAAGACCAGTTATACCTAAAGTCATAATTTATTTTTCTAGTGCTACTATGTATATTGTTCAAACATTTCAATAATGTATATGGCTTTGGTAAAAAAATATTTAATTTTCAATGAATTTGACCTTCTAGTTGCTTAAGTTATAGTTATAATTGTATGTACTTAGATTATCAATGCATGCAGTTTTACTCAGTTTTGATATTGTTGCTGATGAAATTTTAATGGCATCTCCCAAACCTGTCCTTTCAGAAAACAAGTGTTTTTCTACTTAAAAAGGGTAAATGCATCCGCGAATGACATTGGCAGGTATTAATTCATTGTGCTTGTTCACTACACAAAATGACATTTACATTATTACCCATATCATCTTTTTTTGGCGAATATTTAGAATTTAAGTAAACTAAGTAGAAAAACTAGATTGGCAGCCTTGCTGCAAAATGTGTAAAATAAAAATGACCAGTACATATATTTTATTTAAATATTAAAATGTTAAAATGGGATTTTGCTTTGTATCTGGCAGATGAAAAATCAATTTTTCTAAGTTATAGCTCATAGCAAATGCCAAGGTATTACTACCAAGCTGTAACAGCTGCTGGCTTGCCAGATGATGTATTTGGTTGCCTTCCAGAATTTGCTATTATGATCGCGAAACACTGCCTTCTTTCTCCCTCCAATTGCTGATTTTGATCAAGCATTGCCGAATGACGTGGTATGTTTTCACAACACAATCTCCTCAGTGAGCACTGTGTGTCAGTTTTTAAATGAAAAAAAAAAAAAAATTACCTCTTTGTTTGAAAGACAGATTTATCTCTTGAAGGTTTTTTTCTTAAGCTTATATGAAATTTCGTTAATCTTGTAAAATATTTCAATGACATGACAAAAAATACTTAGTTTTTAAAAAATTTGTCATTCAGTTACATACTTATTGTCTTTTATAATAAGAGCATTTTTTGTCATTGTCCTCTAAGGCAATTTGTCACTTCATTTTGTCTTTCAGAGTGTGCTGGGTTTTCTGTTTGTTTAATGAGCAGTTGTATGTTAGGATTTGAAAAATAATCCGGTCATTCATTTACATAATGCCCTTTGCACACATCATTTTTTATTTGTTCCTATGTTTTTTGTTACGGCTTTAATTTATAGAAATAATTATTTTCCCAAAATGAAATAAAATTTACCTTATAGTGCAGTTATCTAATTTCTCCTTAAAAACAATGTAGAATTTATCTTTTTATGGCAGAATTTTTCTTATAATTCCTTTACAATTTAAGCTCTATACAGAAAAGTTCTAACTGATAGAACCCAGCTCCTTTTAAATAAGCTAGCACATCATTTTGATTTGTAAGCTTGTGGGAGAAAAAAGACCTTGACTTTAAATATTGTTTACTTTGCTTGAAAATTTATGTGAAGAGCCCATTAAGATGATATGAAACTTTTTAAAATCAGAACCGTGAGGTGTTTTACATTTCAAATCTGGCATACTAATTAGTTTGCCCTGTCAAACTTTGATTGCCTTGTCATTTTGGCATAGGACTTTAAATAACGAAGTTTCTTTCAGCAATTGCCATTTAATGCTTTTTAATTTCCCTAGTGAGTGATTTTATCCATATTGATAATGTCAGAGAAGCAACTAAGGACTAATGAACATCAAATATATTTGACTCTTATCTAGTTGATACAGAATGACCATAATATTGTACAGTTTTATCACTTTACTTCTTATTCTTTTGAATGAATCGTAGTTATGCTCATCAAGTAATTTAAATGTACAGAGACTACGAACAGGTGCATAGAACAGAAAAATAACACCAATGAAACAACGTTGCACGTATGATTAGGAGGCCTAGGATCATATCCCTTCTGACCCTCAGTGTTGCCATGATATCCCTGAAGTCTAAGCTGCCACATTTTTTAAATGGGGATTATCTCATTTACCACCTAATGTTGTCAGGAAACAGAAAGGTTTGAGCTTCAAACTTATTGCATGGAAGTCATTGTGAATTGTTAACTGATCAAGAAAATATTTGTTACAATTTCTAGTATATAAATCAGATTTCCCTCAAGTATTTGTCAATGGCTTTCCCTTGTTTCAGTTACTTTTACATTGTGTGGCTGTGTTATATATTACAAAATGTTCTCAGATTTCTGTAGGAGTAGTTTCATGACCTTAATTTGGTAAAGTTTTAAAAGCATTATATAATTTTAAAATGCTTTGCATAGAGAGCATATAAATATTTCTCAATTCATTATTTATTTGGAAATTACTGTAAGCATTGCAATATAGTAGAATCTATGGAAAGAAGAATGAGTCAGACATGATTGTCTTGGAAGAACTTGCACAAGAAATCACTTTCAGATTTAATTGCCATAGTAAATCTATAATATAATTGAGAAACCATAAGCTAGAGAAATGAACAATTTATATAACAGGACACTCAAAATCTTCCAGTGCTTTTTTAAAATGTATTATTAGTAATAGAAGATGTTTAAGGGTGAAAGTAAGCAATTCCATTATAAGATATGAATAGATTGTATTAAGTATAGAAGTAGTTTCTGAGTTGTTTTATTTCTTGTATCTTACAAATATAATGTCATTATTTATGAAATACTAATGTAGTGAGTGTTACCTGAGAAATATTTGCATAACTAAGTTTTCTGTTTAGTTGATGTTAAATTAGATTCTTTTGTGAGAATGGTGACTGCTGTTGATCAGTTTTGTTTGCGTGACTAAATTGTTCAAGAATTCACATATCGTTTTCCAGCATTCAAAAGGAAAAGGATATAGATTTGATAATTTATTTTTAAAAGGTTCATTTGAAAGATATAATAAAAGGAATAGGGGTCTCAGGTTTAGTTTTCTTACATAAATTAAGAATTCAATGTTAATCAGATCCTGCCAACAACCACTTGGGATGTGTGGCTTGAAATGTTATGATTGCTGTTTTTTGGTTGTTTCTGATTTAATGTTAAAATTGGCCCAGAGGCAGGAGCATCATAAATACTTACAGGTGTCTAAATCATGGTTAGTGTCACCAACATCCTGAAAGAATTATTTTCAAAGTTTACCACTGTTTGAATACTCCACACATTCGGCCTCCATAACACTTGTCTCCTCACCAAAATAGAGACATTTTGAGGGGACCTGTTTGTTACATCTCTCCATCTGACGCTTATACTAATCATTTGCATGCTGTATATTATATGCAGACATAATTGGATAATGGACAGTTGAAAGTTGTATCCTATGAATATTCTCTTTTTCCTACCCTTAAAATTGTTTTCCATGCCTCTGATGTTCTCAGAGTGTACAAGGAACATAGTACAGAATTGCTTTAAGGACAAAAATTGAAAAGCAGCCATTAAAGTTGATTATCAGTAAGACGAGAAGCAAGGTCTCCACTCAAGAATAAAAACTTTATTTTTTGCATTAAGCTTTGGCGAATGGTGACTGCTGTTGATCAGTTTTGTTGTCCACTATACAGAACAGATGGAGTTTGCAGTTGTGTGTCACTTGTTTATTACATCCTCTTAAAATTAGTAGCTGTGTAACCAGATGGGTCTGGGCGCACAGCTGTGGATATAAGAAAATAAATGAAACCTGTCTGATGCTGCCATGCCCTTTTGAGATACTAAAGTGTTCCAATTGTAACAAAGAGAAACTCACTTTCATTTGACATTTTATTGATATATTAGATTTTAAAAATCAGGTCTTACAAAAATGGTTAACACTGAGTTTTTCAACCCTATCACTTTTATTAATATTTATTTTCATAGTTTAGGTAGCTATTTAAAATGAATTACAAAGTTAAAGAATTAGTATAAAATATATATTTGTAATTTCACTGTTTTAGTAGAAATTCAATGTTGAGCATGATCCAAGTTTATTTTAATGTTTTTCAAGTTTATTAGGTGGCAGATGTTGACCTATTTATTGTATATTCTTACAAAATATAAAATGTATCCATGTGATTGCAAATTCATTGCTTCCCATACAGCAATGCCAGGTCAGTGATGAGATACACAAGTGAAAAGCAGAACAAAATATTAGGTCCATTAGGGTATTGCACTGGCAGCCTGTGCTTCTCTTCTATTTACCAAACGGTATGTTAATATTGAGAAAGTTTATATATTTATACACACACAGACCTATATAAACACACACATACATATATACTTTTGAGAGATAATATGATTGTATCATAATCTGTGTGGTAAAACTTTTAGTCATTCTAATATAGTTGATTAATCTAATCCACATCAGATTACTAAATGAAATAGCCAGTCCCATCCTTCACAGATGTGATAAATTGTACTATATTATGCTTTCTGAGCTGAGAACTCATTTTTTTCTCCTCCATATGTAAGGTATAGAATTTAGGATTTAAAGATTAGTGCTTGAACAAAGTAATATTTAATGAGGATGTATGCAGAGACATAATCTAAAACTGGTTATTTATAGTAAATGTTTTTCTCACTTGAAATGGAATGATAAGTATTTTTACCAATCTATCCAAATGCTATCACTTAATAACAAGTGTATTATGGAAGGAAAAAGTGAAATTAAGCATTCTCAAATACACAACAAATAAACTGTGTAGTTGCAGACTACATTGCATTTGTCTTCCATTTTGTTATCCAAACTTAAATTATATTAAAGCAACAAATTTCAGTTACACCATTGGAAAAAAACTAAATTAATTAAAAGTATAATACGGATGACACACCCACTGATGTACTTTCAATTGCAATGGGTATTGTCACTGACGAAACAAATTTATTTAATGGCAAAAAGGTATAAAACAAAAGGAATGGAATTATTAGTTTCAGATTATTCACTCTGTCTCTACTATAGAGTAATATGGTTATTTTATCTTATGATACTGATGATAATATCCTGTCTTTCTTCATCATTTTCAAGTCTGCTTTTCTTTCTTTCCCAGGAAGTTGGCCTTGTGCTTGCAGCTATATTGGCCCTCCTGCTGGCTTTCTATGCTTTCTTTTACCTCAGGCTGTCCGTGGATGTTGATCCTGATCTGGACCCACGTGAAGATTAGCTGAGCAGCAGTCGTTGCAGGAAAGAACGATAGTTTTTTAAAAGCACCTTTTGGTACCAGTGCTTTCTGAAGTACTGAAACTACAACATGTTGAATGTTTTATTCTGTTTTATTTCAGTTTCCAAAAATGTCTTTTTAAATAATTGTATATCAAGAAAGGAACTTCACCTAGCAATGTTGTGTAGTATACGCTGCCAGATGCTTTTATAAATCTTCCTGCTTTGACAGATACCCTGTCTATTTTGTATTCAGATAAGATGAATAACTGATTCTAAATTCTTCAGATTTCTTACCACATATATGGACATAACTGATACACATACAGATTACCAAATCTAGTTTTGTTCTGTAAACCTTACAAGTAAAAGTACAGAGCTTAGAAACTCACATGCAGATTTAAGAAGGAACAAAAATGTTTCATTTCACAAAGAAGCTCCGCTTCTCTCCAGACATATTTTATATCATTAGCGAGACTATCTGCACATACATCTACGGTAATCTTGTTCCTTCTTTGCCAACTGTTCAGTGCACATGTGCTTCATCAGAAATGGCACCTGGATGACAGAAGCTCAAAGAGTCACATATGTCTCTCAAATAGAGTCCCTTTCCTCCGGGCTGTCTGAACTGGTGTAAATAGAAAGTTCAGTTGATCTTGATTTTAATTAACTTATTACTCTATTAATATAAACTTGGAATTCTATTTTAATTATGTTGTTCTGGCTACCTGCAGTATCAGTTTACCCCTCTTGTTAGGGAGCTATGTAACAATCTGTCATTTAATAGTGCAGTCTTTTTCACACCACAGAAAGAGCAGAAGTCTTAGCTCACAATCTTTTCCTTGAGTTGTGCCCTGAATCTGAACAATACAGAGTTGCTTTGCAAAATTACATTTTGTTTCTTGAGAGGTAATCCATTAGAACACTTTAAAAGCTAGAAAAATAAATAATAGAAGAAAATATATGTCTCCTATTACTCTCCTATGTAATTTTCAGTTTATATAGTTTTCAATGCATTTTTCATTTGTTGGAGCATAATGAGTAGGACATTTAATATTTTATTGGTAATGAAATTATAGTAGATTTTTAAAACACATGAACGCGTAGAACTTAGAAATTTGGAAAATATCTGGTCAAAAAAAGTGTTTAGCTATTACAATATATACATATGTATAGAAAATGGATAGTGTGAAATATATGCACAAAGAAATGTTTTATAATGTGTATATTGTATTTATGAAGAAAAATAAAAGTTAAGATTGCTTCCATACTGGCTAAGGGACAAAAGCTTTGATAAATACCCTAGAAGTTTATAGGGCTTTATAAGCACAATTTTCTTCAAAAGGTATTCTTTGGTACTTTTGCAAAAACTTGAATTCAATAATGTAGTGCAACATTGTAGGGTTTTTTAAAGTAGCATAATTTCTTCCATCAGTGTGAAAACAGCCAAAGATTCCAATTTCCCTGCAGATTATTTCTGCCAAACATCTAAGGGCAAAATTTAAGCAGTGTTATTTACTGGATTCTTCCTCTCGAACTCACAAACTCAAGAGACAGACCAAGAGTTCTTATGTACTCACCAAAGCGGACCAATCCAAGTGGCATTTTTAGGAAAGGTTGCAGCATTTTATGCCATGTGGTATGTCTGTTTGCGAAGTGGGAGGCAAGGGAGTATCCAAGCTGGCATTTTGGATATGACGGGCCTTTTGCTTTGCTGAGTGACATGCCACATGTCAAGAGACACTGCTTTCCTCCACTCCTATCGCATTTACGTGAGCAATTTTCATTTAGTTATTTCCCTCCCATATGGTGTTAAAAACAGTCGTATTAAATAAAGATTTCCTCTGGTTCTTCAGTGGGAATTTAAAGAAGAGGATATATAATAATTACTTATTAGATGCCTATCCAAGTGAGCTATTAACAGAGTTTACAGTATGCAAAATAGATGACTATACTTTCAAAAATGTTTAAAAATTAATCATTCTGAGAAAAACTGCACCATTCTGGTCTATCATGAGAAATGTTTGTGGGGAAATGTTTTTGATAGTTATAAGTTTTAATCTAAACATAGCATAATTATAGGCAAGTTTCATTGCCTGGTTTTATTAATATCTTGAGCCTATACTTAGTCCATTTGTATAACTGATCGATTTCTAGTGGCCCCAAAGTACCATAAATCCAAAGGCTTAAAATTGATTTAAGTAAATAGCAGGTAAAGTGAGACAATGCAGTATATGTTTACATGCTGTTTTCATGAAATTCAAATTTTGTGAACTCACGTTAAATTGGAAGCAGCCAATCCTGTGAAGATAAATCCCACATTGAAAGTCTGGTTTGAATCTTTGAAGACAGAAAGGTGGTATCTTTCTGCTGTGTCAGAGGACTACACTTTTGAGTAGGGAGTAGTTTGTGGCATAAATTTGAGGCTGGCATCAAATATTAGATATAGCTATTTCCCCTACTGTAAGCAGAATACAAAACTAGAAAAAATTGTGATAACTTTTCAGAATGGTGGAATTGACTTGTTAACCTACTCTGCAAAATGAATTTCTAACTTAAGAGACTTAAAAGTATAGCCCATGGGGTACTATGAAAGGAGTATGAAGGGTTGTTCATTCTTACTTTGCCTGGAAATCTAGACTAGAGTAAAGAATACATAAATTAGTTTGAACGGAGATATTATAAAAATTTAATCTCATCTAATATTTCTTTTGAGACAAAGAAAAACCCTATTTTAGTACAAATACAAGGTTAGTTGCTTTAAGGGGATAAAAATACTTCAAGCTTCTCTTCATTTTTTCACAAAGACAGAAGAAATACTCTTACCCTAACCAATGGTTATAAAATGCCGAGTGCGTGTTCTTATCCATTTCTATCATTCCAATAGTTACATTACTATTGGAATGATAGAAATGAAGAAGAACATAATCTGGACATAAATATAATATATGCCTGTTAAAATAAAGTTAATACATTTTAGTCCTCTCAGAGTCTGGCAGAATTCTTTTTATTTAGTAGATGATCAAAGATTGCTTAAATTTAATAAATCAAACATAAGCACCATGGTATTGATCACAAAGCATTTAGCATTTATGGGCGCTGGTTCTTGTTTCATCCTGCTTTTCTTAAAGATTAAAAAATTTTGTTAAGGTTGTTATAAAATAGAAACATTGGCTTTTTGAGACAATCAAGTATGAATGTTTACTGAAAAACATACTTAAAGGCTCAGTTCAACTTAGTATACATCTTTACTCCAAAAATCTAAAACTAGAATTTTATCATAACATTTATATGAATAGTAAAGCACACAATTTTTCCAGATTCTAAAATATAGTCAGTAAGTCTGTAAAGGGAATACTGCTTGAGATAAGCTTTAGAAATAAATTTTTAGAAATTAAACTTATTCAATTTTAAGGTATTTCATCCCAGACATGCTTATTTAACCACACACTACCTGACATAATTTTATGTTCTCTCCTTAACAACAATTAGGCTTTACACTTACCTGGACTCCTCCGGGACGACGCCTATCACTTCTCCCTGAGCAGCACTGCTTTCTCTATTAGAAATGATCCATGCAGCCTGGATAGAATGATGTTTTCTAGATTTTTTTCCACTGACACCATGTCTAGAATCAGTACAACATACAGTAAAAATGTTTTAAAAAGTAGCAGATGAAATAAATACCTATAAAAACATTCTTACCATTTTGTGCAGGGTAATATAGGTAAGTGTAGAGGGAGTGGGGAGAGTCATGTAAAGAACTATACCAGTGTGGAAATGCCCTTGGGGGATCAGTAATTCATTTAAAACAATTGAACTGCAGCCGTATTCACTGTACTGCCTTCTCGTTATACAACATTTTTAATCCCTAGCAACAGATATGAGATCCTTATTTCAAGAAAAAAATAAGATACTTTACATGCCAGAAGATTTTTTGATGACAGTACCCCCTCCTATTCTTCATTTTTTAAAACAACAACCAAATTGGTGGGGAAGCAGCCAAAATTTGAGGTACCAATGCTTCTCGAACAGATGTCGCACCATTATTTTTTAGCTCGTTTAGATGAATAAACATGTTAAACTGTGAAGTATTACATTTTAGATTTTTTCATTAAAAAAAGAGACAATCTGTTTACTGTCCTAATTGAGACAACAATCCTTGTGGTTGCCAGTTTTGGCAGTCATAACAATGAACTATAAATATTTGGACCAATCGAGTAAATGGTGACTATAAAGGCTATAGCATGTGTAAAGTTCTGTTTTCACGGGCACCCATCTTAGTATGGCATCTTTTTTCTGACTTCTTCAAATACAATTGTTTGTGTGAAACTGAAGTTTCATGGTAAGCCTAAAAGAAATTGATTTCAATATCTAATTTCTTTCTAGTTTATCATCCTTTTTAGTGTTCAACTATCCATCTGCTTGTAACAAATTGCTTCTTCAGTTGTGCTGTTGAATGTAACAAGGCAGGTCTTCATTGGTTTGCCTTCTCAGTATGTCCTAAAATAACGTAAAATGCAAAGGTAGTACCTTTTAAGCCTTTTTTTTTTTTATGTCTACGAAGTGCTTTTAAAGGCATTTTGAATCTCTTAAATTGTAACACAGTTTTGTAAAATAAGGTTTTTTGAAAAATGGTGGAGGTTGCAACATTTGTTATAACGATAACGAGGAGGTAAGGTGATCATAATCTTAGCCCTTGTGAGCATGCTTTACTTGAAATATCAGTGTCAGGGAGTGGATAGACTAACTAATGAGAAATAACCCATACCTGAAAATTATTTCCAAACATTTGTGACCCAAATAGTGAGTGCTTTTCTAGGCTACTGTAAGAGCTTCAGCTCCCTTCTCCAGCACTTCCGCTTCTACCGTTTGTTTGAGCCTCACTTCTTTACTGGCTTAGTACTCTCTCATACTTTTTATGCGCTCAGTGTGTTACTTACCTCTACTCTTATAATTACCCTTGATCCTTCCCTGTTTTCCAATCTGTTATTTCTTAAGTGCTTTCATTTTTATTGCTGATCTTACATATCACACATGAATAGAGGTAATAATAAAATGAACTTCAGCATACTTTTCACTTAGTTTTAACAATTATCAATGTTTTTCCACTCTTTTATGAGTTTCCTCCTTTTTTTTTTTCTTGTCTTTTTGAGACAGGGTCTCACTGTGTAGTTCAAGTGGGCCTTGAGCTCACTTTGTAGCCCAGGCTGTCTTGAACTCTCAATGATCCTCCTGCCTCTGCCTCCTGAGTTTTGGGATTACCAGTGTGCACCACCATGCCTGGTGTTGCCTCCATTTTCATAGCTTGAAATATTTATAGCCTAGATATAGTGACATTTTACATGCAAATTAGTCAGTATGTCTATCTAACTGACAACAATGTTGTTTATGTTTGTTACATATTATCAGAAATTCATTATTATAACTAATATAATTATGTACTGTATTGTAATACAATATAATAAGTTAATATTCAGAGTTCCTTACTTTTCTACAGATGTCTACTTACAATAGATGTTGAATCAAAATCCATACTGCATTTGTTTGAGTGACTCCTAAATTATATTTTTTACTCTATAATTTGTCTTTATTTCTAGCATTGATTTATAGGTCCTTTTGAACATCCAGTGTTCTAAATTTGGTCTCTTCCAATTCTTATTCAGTTTATCTCTCTATTTTTATATTTTCGATAAATTAGTATTTAAAGAGTCAGCTAGATTAAATACAGGCAAGCCTTTGTTCTTGTTATTTTTAAGCCAAGAGTATTTCTCAGTACTTATCTATGAACATAATAACAGTTTGCTCACTTGTGAGTCTGTGATTTGTCAATGGGTTTGTGTGCTAATATCCTGCTTCCTTCCACAATAAAGTTTTTTAATATTTTATTTATAGCTGTGAGCATATAATACATAATTGTTTCTTAGGCCTGCTTTCTCATTGGATATTGTAATCATTTC